TATCGTTACATTTTTTTTTGATATCTTATCATGTTGTCTGAAGCTATATAATTATAGTGGTACTAATAATTAAGAATTATATTTTTTACATGATATGATAGAAACTTTATTTATTTTACAACAATTATGAAAAAGTTATTTCAACTTTTATATATCATTCTTGTTGGCCTGGATGTTAGCACTGCGGGGTGTGTGTTATTGTAGGTCTGTACTAACCATAGAAATCCCATGTGGTTGGGCAGGTGACCACCTTGGTGAAAAGTGAGTGTGTAATCCACTGTACCCAACAAACCACCCAGGTGTATAGTTCACATGTAGTGAGAATGCATGGCAAATGTAAACAAAAACAACTGTTTTGTATACTGGTATGGGATCACATTCCTGTACATGTACTGGGACTTACCCAGGGTGTATGTGACTCCTGTCAGGAAGCTAAAGCCTATCAGCTCGTTATACACATAAGCATTCTCTTGTAAACAGGAGTTATAAAAAACCAGTTGGCCTATCATAGTGTACTGTGTTTACCACACCACCAGCACCGCAGCACGTAGAGAGGTGGGGATTTCCCCGTTTATATATTTTGACTGTCAAGGTCACTGCTAGGTTAGTTGCTGTAACATTTCACTGATGATTTTATTATCTGTTTACTTCTACACATCACTGGATACAACCTTGATATAACCTTGAAAGCAATCTGCTCAACAGTTTATAAAGAACTAAACAGATTTTCATCCTGGATCTACCACTTAATGCACTTGGTTAAGTAAACAACTTAAGCCTTCATTTCCTATATGTGTTTGTAAATTTCTTTCCTAATATTTGTTTTCAGTAGAACAATATTTGTTTAATATACTGTCGATGTCAGTCCCCCATAAATTATTAACAAGCTCTTTATTTACATGTACATCTGTTATTCTGCACCTCCTCCAAAGAGTCAAGTTTGCATTAAGCCTTATTAGTTAATGATGAAGTATCTTTCTGATTTTTCCCCCAGACGATTTTCCAATGCACACCCATTAACCATTATCTTCATACCCCATTACCTGGTCTGTAGAGATCTAGAAAGAACATAAAAGCATGTATATTTGATGATGCTTTTACAAACATGGCTATAAATTTAAAAACATGTAAGAATGTATGTAACTTAAAGAAAGCAACCGGAGCTATAAATTATACTTCTTATATGGATTGTGATCAGAGCTATACCAAGGTTTTCATGTTTCCAATACTGTATATGGATTGTGATCAGAGCTATACCAAGGTTTTCATGTTTCCAATACTGTATACTAGCAATTTGCCTGGTCAAGTTTTTGTCCTATGCCGATAAAATCCATTTTCCCCTCATGTTAATCAGGGGCGGATCCAGGATTTCCTAAAAGGGGGGCCGAGAAATTTTTCTCAATAGTCAACGGTGTGCTGCGAAAGGAAGCAGCCCGAGCGCGTAGCGCGAGGAGGGGGAGGGTACAGACCCCCTCCCCGTAAGGGGGGTTTGGGGGATCTCCTCCCCAAAAAATGTGTTTTCTAGAACGTCTCAGAAGCGATTTCCCGTGCTCTGGGGATTGTTTTTATGTTTTATTACATATTTTAAAAACATATTTTAAGTATGGCCCAAAGACTTTTTTTGTGTACTGGAAAGAAAATTAAAGTTTTGGTTCAAATTCTCTACCAACAGCGTGTTTTAGAAGTCAGATGGTATTATTATAGGGGCAACCTGGTGATGACAAATGTATGAATCCACAGGGGGCTTGTTCATTATTACCTAATTTGGCGTCCCGCCCGCAAGGGGGATATGAGAGGTCCACCGTCAAAAAATAAATGTAGGGACGCACAATATCTAGTCTTCAGACATTGTACCTACAGTACAGTACTTCATGTAATAGTTTGTCGTACAAAAGAACAAATAGCACCATAACATCGTTGCTGTTTAATTAATGAGTTACTCATGACATCACTAAGTTGGTAAACAAACGGTATGTTCAAATCAGTGCGACACCCAAGGCCACTAGCTATATACAGGGGCGTTTCTAGGATATTTGAAAGAGAGTAGAATAAAATCTGCGAATTTTTTTTTAGACCTTTTTTTTTGCTAAAAAACATAAAATAATTGTGAAATGCACTAATGTAGCGGTTCCTGACTTGGAACATGTATATTTTATAGTTGAAGTGTCATGGTTTGACATTTTTTTTATCAGAGTATGTCTTTAATTAATGAATATGATAATTGCCATATTCAATACAATATTAGCTGATTACGATAAAAAAAAATCTTTTTCTTTTGAAAAAGAGGGGAGTGGGGGCGTACGCCCATTACGCCCTCACCTGGACCCGCCCCTGATATAGTCTCGCGTTTTATTATTGTTGACTAATTCACTAGTGTAGACAATGATATATCTGAAATGTCTACGCTGATTAACTCTTGTAAGGGCGTGCATATTACCAACGGTGGTACATTTGCTAAGCTATCTGGTTAAAATGGTACAACTTAGGAGGCACATACGCGTCACCTTTAAATTTAATCTAAAATGATCATACTTGTAAGTACAGCATATCATCTCATTCTGGTACGTACAACTTATTACTACGTACACAATAGTATGCTGTGTGAAGATACTTTCTTGTACGTACACGATGGTAAGCTATAAGTACCACAATGAGATATTATGTTGTACATACAAGATAGTTAAACAGTTCCAACAATATATATAATACCAAAATAATTGAATGGATATGTTTAGTCGATTATACATAATATTGTCAGCCGAAAAAAACCTTTATCGTTCTTGTATAATGATATGATTAATATCGCCCGGGCGGTTAGGAAGGTTACAATAAAAAGTATTAATTTTCAGATCATCTATAACGAGCGGTCAATAATATAATTATGCAACTTATGCTAGTATATTTCCGTCGAACGTTGCAAGTTGCAACTTGGGGTTTTGCGGAGGTGGTAAAATAAAAAACACACTTTAGGGTCAAGATACAAAGTAGACGAGCGTAGCGATGCCAACAAATATTGTTTTAATAAAGAAAATATAGTAAAAATATCAGATAACGGAAACCAACAAAATTTGCTAGGATGCCGTATGGGATGGTTGGGGCGTAGCCCCAGATTTTTTTTATACAAGCTACGTGCATTATTTGATGCATTTTAAAATGTTAATATGTTCCCATTCCCGGCCGATCAGACCATTATGGGCCGGCCCGGAAAAGGTCAGTCCGCCGCCTAAAGGGGGGGCCGGGGCCGGGTGTGCCCCCCCTAAATCCGCGCCTGTTAATTTCGCCCTTCATATTTGATAAGTATGTTCATTATGTCGCTTGATACTACTCTTCGATGTAATGATTTTGCCCTCATTAATTGCAGAGGGTGAAAAAAACGAAATTCAATATGTGGGGAAAATCATCTGTATACAGTATTTCATAAAAATGGGTATTTCTGCAATATTTAAGGGAAAAAAATGTTGAATTTCTGTATAAGTGTAGTAATGAAATACATTTTTAAAAGGGGAGACAACTTGTATTATCAATCCAGTCCTTAGAATACCGTCAGAGTACTTTGGGGTGTTTCAGTCCATGCTTGATCTGATCAGTAATAGTTAAAGGAGCGTTATATTGTACTAAGACCTGTCACCGTTAGTAATCAAACATGATGTACAATGAGTGAAGTTGGATGTTGTAATCCCGTAACAGCTGGTCTGTTCCCAGTAGTATGACTAGCTAGGACTGGTGACATTTCTTTAGAAATTCCGTCCAGATAGCTTAGTTATGACACACTATTTGTAACACCTGATCATGACTGTGTAATCACCTCATATAGGGCATTTCGATGATACATGTTGATTGTCTTTTTTCCATCACCTTTTATATTATTTAGATGTATGAAGAAATCTTGTAAAATGCTCCCTAACCAACACCCTACAAAGTAAAAGATTTGTCATTTTGTAGAAATTACTATATTTTTTAACAACAATTTTTATGATAAAATCACCAAAATCATTGATTGTATAGGGTATGGCTTTACTTGACCTTTCTACTTGTTCCTAACGTGTAAGATAGAGATATAATTAGCATAAATACCCTGAATAGCCTATTGAAACAATGGAGAGAATAATTATTATGATGTATTATAGGGGGACTAAAGCCTCTAGTTAAAACTTATTGTTATATTTTACTGGGGCACTTTTTTTTTCCTGAAATATCAAAACTTATTGTACAATAGTATAAACATTTCGAGCAGACAAACATTATATACCAGGTACATTGGTTATAGCCTACAAAGTGCTCCTTGAAGCACAGGAAGATGATACAGGTGTGTCTTATATTGTGTGTGTATCCATACATCAGTCTGACACACTGACTTTCTAGCCCTCCCTAACTTCCCTGCCCTCCCCCCCTCCCCCTTCCCCCATCCCCCCTCCCTCTTCCTCTCCCTCCATTACCACGGAATTCATGTATACATATGTACATAACAAAGTATGCATACAGTTGTTTCACATATCACTGCAATTATCATATTTGCAGACCTGCTCAAAAACTGATCTATACTTCTCGTTTCTGGATCTTAATTATTGGAAACCTCTATATTGGGAATCACATTAATTATAATGTGATGTCATGTAATTTTATAATGTGACATCATCTGATTAAAACATGTGCCTCATTTGTTTGTTTTTGTTTTGACATAACCATGATGACAACATTCATGGCAGATAAAGATTTGTAACCCTACATGGTTTTGCCTTAGATGACAGAGCTCTTTTCAATGTAACTTGTACATTTGATATGCTGTAAACATTAATGTTTTAGCAGCAGTCTTATTTTATCTCTTTTGGGGCTTTAAATATTGAGCGAAATCATGAACGCCGCAAAATTTGAGTGCACTAAAACTAGTTTGTGTACAGTAAGTTGTGTACAGTAAGTTGTGTACAGTAAGTTAGTTTTAAATTGTCTTTATAAATAAAAATAGACCAGTGAATCATTAGAGTGTGTAATTGTTTTTTCAGAGTCAGATCGAGGACGCCATTCTGAAGGTCAGGGAGGAAAACGTACAGGAACTAGCAGATGAATGCGATATAAAGGTGGAGGAATTTGATTCCATGGTGCAGCCAATCATCGAGTCGTGTACCAAAGACGCAATTATGGTCAGTCGTGGTAACCTTACCATCGTCCAATAGTATCAATGTTCTCAGCATGTCTGCCTTGTCAATAGTTATTATGAACTTAATTCTGAAAAAAGTTTTTTGCTATAAACACAAATTTAGCTGCAAATTCGGAAGCTAATTGCCTACCTTATGCGTTTCAAGTTACATCTGTAGATCAGTGGTTCTTGGCTCTATGACATATGTGTAGTTCCTATCTTCTTACTATCATAGCTTTAAACTGTCTAGCTTACACTTTCTTGTTAAAATCTGCAAAGTATTGTATATACCATCAAACTTGTTAGACTTTTATCTATTTATGGGTCGTGTACCTGAACATTTTTCTATCACAGAAATAAAAGTATACAAAGCTTTTCCTATACATGCATATGCAGCAACAAAATGACTAAACACAATCAGACGTTTAAAATTTGACTAGCCAAATATTAATGCCCCTGACGACTAAATTTTGTGTCAGGAGTATTGGAAATGTTCAATCTCTATTATGGAATTATAGATTGACCTTGAATGTTTCAAAACCTGCCTACGGGCTAGTCAATTTGATGTCAGGATTAGTGAACAAATTCAATCTTTGCTATAAAACTTTTAACTTGGACTAGTAGAATTTTCAAAACCTGCTTCCGGGCTCTATGTATGAAATTATACATCCTGATGTAATCAAATCAAACCATGTATGTGTATATAAATGTTAGTGTGTTCCATCAGTCTATAACGTTGTTAAATTCACCAAGAAAATAAGTTTATGAGATTTTGAAGGTTTTACCCCATACCCTAACAAGGTTACAACTTTGCATATTACTGTACTGTCATTCAGAATGTATGGTGCTCGAAGCTTATCTCATCCGTATTGATGCTTCCAGATATAGCATGTTGAAGATAATGATGATTTCTTGTCAAATACTATTGTATATTTGTATTTTTCTCAAACTGTTGATCTTAAAAGTATCTTTATGCTTCTAACATTATTTTGATGACCGGTTTTTAACTATGTTGAAGATAAGTACTATACAAAATGTCTGCTGGGACCATACTAAAATATTCAAAAAATGATTTGAGACACAGAACACAGGAAGAGGATAAATTATTTTTTAATTATTTTGTTTCAGAATGGTAAAAGCTGGATTTTCCAAAAGTGCAACTCAGAAAAACACTGTAATCTTTTAGGACAGTATTTATTACAAAGGTAAGCAGAAATGTACCACAGAAAAGCACAGTAATCTTTTAGGACAGTATTTGTTACAAAGGTTATATAAGCAGAAATTAACCACAGAAAAGTACTGTAATCTTTTAGGACAGTATTTGTTACAAAGGTAATATAAGCAGAAATTTACCACATACAAGTACTGTAATCTTTTAGGATAGTGTTTATCACAAAGGTAATATAAGCAGAAATTTACCACAGAAAAGTACTGTAGTCTTTAGGACAGTATTTGGTACAAAGGTAATATAAACAGAAATTTACCACATACAAGTACTGCAAACTTTTAGGACAGTATTTATCACAAAGGTAAGCGTACCACATAAAAGAACTGTAAACTTTGAGGATGGTATTAATTAAGCAGCCTTGTTATATTTTTGGGACATGATTGATTAGTGCTGAGCAGTTATCTTCTAGTTCAGTGTTTTTTAGAGAGGCAAGCAGTATACCAATTTTTCTCCAGCAATTTATCATACCTCTTGAGAATAGGATATATTTTTAGGGGAATGCTTTGCTGCGGTTTAATTTTTTTTGTCTATCATTTTGGATGCACATGTTTGTTCATTAAAAACTGTTGCACCATTAGAAATAAATCATAAAGATGAAGGATACTCAGCAACACAGAAACAGTTTGAGGCTCTTTATATTAATTACCAGGCCACAAATAACAATGAGCTATGGGTTCTTTCCAATGGAAATGGATGGTGTAACATTATGTTTTTAATGCCTCCGCTAGGAGTTGAACCCAGACCTCTGGCTTACTAGTCTTACACTCTACTGAATAAGCTCAAGAGAAATTCTCCCTAGGCGAGTCGGTAGGAAGTGTCGAGTATTTTCCAGGGTGACTTTGGCCTGCTGTAGAGGCTGACTTCAGATATTGTAAAGGATGAACACGGGTAAGATTATATAGGGACATCACATTGTGATGCTACCAGGTATATGTCTAATGAGATGTATGCTCAACTGCTAGCTGTTGTTGGTAGTTCATTGCATACACTACATTCTGTAAGTAATACCCTGTTATAATTACCTGTACTGGTAGCATGGTTCCCGCCCTAACACTCGTCAGTTGTCACAGGATTAGTATTGGCGAGTTTCTTGTAATCAAGCAGTTTTATATAGCTGACATACATAATCGCTAATACCACATTCAAAGCATAATTGTTAAAATGAAGTCTAGTTAGAATAAGGAACAACTACAATATGGTTTCTGCTAAAATATCATATCTGTTAAATGAGATTTCTACTAGGATAAGGTTTCTACTAACATTTTGCAAAAATTAGGGTTCACTGTAAGGTTTTTGCTAAAATAAAGGTTCACTTAAAGTCAAATATCTGCTGAAATGAAGTTTCAGCTAGTGAAATGAGGTTTCAGCGTGAATAAGGTTTTAGTTAAAAGAAGATTTCTACTAAAATAAGATATCTGCTAAGATATGATATCCACTAATATGACACCAACACTTAGGATATATATATATATGATACGATAAAGAAGGTCTCCAGAGGAAGATACACCAATATAAGATCTGTTAAAATAAGGTATACACTAAACTAAGGACTCTGTTGATATATTATGTAGGATCTTGAACAGTTTCCACTAAAATGCAGGAAATAAAATCTCTGCAAAATGAAGTCTTTGTTAATCACTGAACAGTCTTCATAATAGTTGGTACAACTCAAAAGACTTAAAGACGATATAAAAACATGTAGAGTTTGTTTTGTTCATTCCAGTCCAGGGTAGTGACGTGGTTTTAAGTGGTTGATGTTTTGAAGTTATTATCATTTGAACAGTTCAAATTTAGGTTTGGTTCCTTGGCAGGCCACTGTGCTTAGGTTCATTGACTCATACAGAGGTTTACAGGTACCTGAGGTTGATGATCTGTGTTGACGGGTAAAATCACAGGTGTTAAGTAGGTACTGACTTTTCTCAAGGATCAGGCGTAGGTGACTCCCTAGCGTCTTACTGTGCTGAGCATATCGCCCAGTCGGGTTAAGTCAGATAATCAGCTTGGTGTCCGATACTTCCAGATGTGTAACAGTCAACATGTTATCTTGAGGTTGTTGGTGACGTTAGTGTTACTTCGGTCCTTAACCCTTCCGTCAAGAAGTTGACTAGGATAAACTTCAATAAATAGGAATACATATATATAAAGGATCTTACATGATCAGGAGTTTCCATTTCCTGCGAGGGTTGTGAAATAAGTCTAAAGATATTTCCATTTTACCATATGCTGCTGGAAAGCTTCAACGAAAAATTAGTGAAGTGACCATTGTTACAAACATAAAATGGAAATTATTGGAGAATCTATTTATGACATGATCAAAGTGTAATTCTCTTATCAATATTTTGCCTTTTTGCCTCTATAAACATTGTCTCCATTGTGACATGATGATATAATAAATCTGTGATGTCACAATATGCCATATTGAATGAGTTCATACTCAGAATTTTCTGGTGATCATGTAATCAAAATTATTTATATTATCAATGTTATTCAGATTTGTTATGCTTGTTGTTGTGTATTACTCAAGATAAACATATTTGGCTATGAATTTGTTTCACCAGGTCTAATGTAAGCCTGCTGTTATACTTAAGTACTTAAATTACTGCTTAGTGTGCATGTGCAGCTGCAGGTAGATATATCACCTGAGATATTAATCATATCACCTGAGATAATAAATGTATTTTCAGACTTTGTTGGTACTATAAATAGATTACTGAAATATACTGATCGCCAGTCACATTGTTTGTACATGTGCTTTTTGTAAACATACTTAGGTGTCTTATTTACATATATAAAGCGGATAAAGGAATGACGGCTTAGTGATACAGAGGATCAAAATACTTAAATTACCTGTATACGTCAGCTCACTGGTTATGAGTAAGTCAGGTACGGACTAAGTTACCTATATACGTCAGCTCACTGGTTACGAGTAAGTCAGGTATGGACTAAGTTACCTGTATAAGTCAGCTCACTGGTTATGAGTAAGTCAGGTATGGACTAAGTTACCTGTATATGTCAGCTCACTGGTTATGAGTAAGTCAGGTATGGACTAAGATACCTGTATACGTCAGCTCACTGGTTACGAGTAAGTCAGGTATGGACTAAGATACCTGTATACGTCAGCTCACTGGCTACGAGTAAGTCAGGTATGGACTAAGATACCTGACTTACTCATAACCAGTAAGCTGACTTATACAGGTAACTTAGTCCATCCCTGACTTACTCATAACCAGTGAGCTGACGTATACAGGTATGGACTAAGTTACCTGTATACGTCAGCTCACTGGTTATGAGTATGTCAGGTATGGACTAAGTACTGCAGCTAGGCTCATTCAAATTCACTTGCTTATGTGTCTGTATGTACAGCATGTTGCCTGGTATTTTTAGAACCTTACTCTTTGATCCAAACCTCTATAACCTTGATTAAGTCCCTATGTTTAGGTCAGTTATGAAGTAGTACAGCTAGGGTTACAGACTTTCACATGCCTATGCACCTCTGTTTGAGTATAGCATGTTGCATGACATTTTGTGGCCTTGATCTGTCACCTTGACCTCTGTGACCTTGGTAACTACGGTAAAATTCTTAAGTTTAGGTCAGTTATGGACTAAGTATTGTAGCTAGGGTTACACAACTTCATATGTGTATGTGCCTCTATAAGTACAGGAGGTTGCATGTCATTTCTGTAACCTTGATCTTCAACCTTGACCCCTGTGACTTCAGAATTGTTTATGCATTTATGTCATTTTAGGACCAAGTACTGCAGCTGTGGTCATCCAACTTTACAAAGTTATGGACCTCTAAAAGTACATTATGTTGCATAACAATTTGTTAACCTTGACCTTTGATCTTGACCTCTGTGACTTAGTTTAGAATTTGTATTTTTAGGTTCATGCAACTTCACCTGCTTTAAGCACCTTGACGAGAATAAGAAATTGTATGGCATGTTTGTCACCGGGTCTTTACAAACTTAAATCTTGCAGACACATTTCTTGCATAATTTGAAAAATCACTGGTATTTTCTTTTCAATTTTAGTGCACTTTGATTTTTTTTCAAAAAATAAATGTTGCAAATTATTTACGCTACCTTATTTGCAGCCTTTATTATCTTAAAGTGATTTCTGAAATAACTTTTAGAAAGTGTTTTGGTATGGCTGCTGCTGGTGAGCTTTGAAATTAATGACTCACTACTGATTCTTTTAATTGTCTGGGAACTTAGGGCTTGATGTTTATTTGAAATAGTGCAAGACACAAAGAGAATTGCATCAAACACTCTAGAATTTTGAATTAACATGCATAAATACCAAGTTTATGTGTCATGTAAGATAGTCTTATACAAAAACTTAGTATCTGTACACAATCTGGTATGAAAAGGACCTTATAGGATTGATATCTGTGTTTGTGAAATGGTTGTCTGATAAACTAAATTTGGGACACGACAGAATTTGTCAAATAAATAAAGTTAGTGTCTGTCTGACCGGACAGGTCAATCAAGTTAGGACTGATGTAACCAAACAGGTCTAGCATAAGTGAAAAAACCCACTCATTTTGTCGTAGTGTATCATTTTCAGCGGAGGAAAAACCATGTGTAAAAAAATGAAATAATGTCGAAAAAGTATGCACCTATTTTAAACATACTCATATGTGTGCAATTCCACTGGCCTGGTCGAGGCCCGGGACTAGTAGGCTTCATATTGGAGCTACTGAAATGTTTAACATTTACCATGAAAATATAGGTCTGTTTAGAACATTTTGAAATCAACCTGTGGACTGGTGTTTTAAAATATTGAATTGTATACCCCAGATACTGACCTATGTTATTTAACATAGTAATATATTAAACTATAGTGTAAAATGATACAATTTAATCTGTTCTGTATTATAAATAGAAAATGTATAAATAGATTTTGAGCACAAAGCAAGGTATAGGGATTTCAGTTGATTTTAAAAGTAAAATGTGAGGGTGAAAAATTGAGAATATTCCTCTAAAATAAGGAGACTTGGCAAGTCATCTAAATTGAGATGTTTGTCAAGTCAGCATATACTGTCATCTAAGTGATGGTCAGTTATCAGGACAATTGACCTCGACCTTCTCCATCTTAGGGTACTATATCAACGGGATGAATGGTGTTTACCTGTCATACAGCATGCCAACAAGACATTTATTGGAATAATATCAGCGCTAGATCCCTGTTTGTGAAATATAAATATCACGATACTTATCTGTACAAAAGCATCATGCACTCCTGCACCAGAATGAAAAATGTAAACATATTTGTTGTTTTTCGTAGGCAGCAGAAGTATAAACATATTTTGTCAAGGTCTATTAAGTATGTGTAGTACGTGTTGGTACTCTAATTATGTAGTGAGCTATTTACAAGGATAATATTATTCCTATGTTAATATTATTGTAACAAAACACTGTCATAAATCTCACAAAATGACTCTCATTAACATGTGACTGTCATTTAAACTGGTGTCTTTATGTACTTCCTGTGTACCAGGTGGCACAGAAAGGATTGAGTTGGTCTTTACATATATTGTCTGAACCATCGTTATCAAATGGAAAAATCAGTATGTTGTTTACCTTTACATATATTGTCTGAACCATCGTTATCAAATGGAAAAATCAGTATGTTGTTTACCTTTACATAGTCATATGTATGGTATGATAGCATGAACAAAAATATATTTAGTTTAAAATATAAGCTCACCTGCCTGAATGTGGGGGCGGTATCTGGTTGTGAAGTTTTCTTTTAAAAGATTACTTGTCCAGAACAACTTAATTGATTTTGACCAAATTTGGTGTGGCATATTCCTTGGCCAAGGAGTTTAATTGTTGTTTAACTCATTCACCCCTGAAATTTAATAATGAACTATTCCAAACATTGAATTGGAAGAGTTCAAATGTGTCTTCATGGGTGAATGAGTTAAAAGATGCTTGTGGCCCCAAAGGAGCAAAGAAGTGACCCTGTGCCCAATTAGGAAATATGTGTAAATCTTTAAAAGACTACTCCTCAGAGTGGTTGAAGTGATATTAATGAAATTTAACATCAATGATCCCTGGGAAAGGAGGCTTAATGTTGTGTAAATAAAGGTTGTGGCCCTCAGGAGGCAAAGAAGGGAGGCCCAATAGGGAATATATATTAATTTAAAAGATAACTCTTTCAGTACATAAGAATAGAAGGAGCTTTAGCTTAATTTGGTATAAAGGATCCCTTTTCCAAGAGTATTCAGTTATTGCATAAGTGAATGGTGGGGCACCTGTGGAGGTAGGAATGATGCCCAATAGATGAAATAGGAATAAATCTTAAATTAAAAACTCTTACAAAGTGCATCAAAGAATTTTATATTAATTTAATATAAAGGATTCCTGGGCCAAGTGGAATCGGTGACGTAAAAAGTGTCTGGCCCACTAGGGGCTGAGTGGACTGACTCAATAGGAGAAATAGGGGTTAAAATTGAAAACTACTCCTCAGTGTGAGTAGATTTTGACCTAATGTAAAGAATTCCTGGTCCAATGGGACTCCCCTAATTTCCCCATTTTATGAATGAAACCTGTTGCCCTCATTGGGGCAAAGGGGCTGTCCAGGAGAAATAAATTAAACCGTTAAAGGAAGGGATTTTAACCTAATATTATGGTAGGAAAGCTCCTTGACCATCCAATTCTGACCCTGGTTTGTCAAACCAATTTACTCTGGTGCCATAATAACTGATCCAGATACAGAGTACAAGAAAGGTGGCTGGGCTTGTTTTTTGACCCAGGTTTTGATTTTATCATCATGTCTTCATAGGCTAGACACCAGATAACAACTGTATGTGTTGGTCGTAACATGCTTTACATTAGATAAATAGGAGTAAACAAGTCTACCTATGTTCTTCATGGCTTTATTTATGTACTTGCAGGATATGTGCCAAAGATGCAAGGTTTGAGACTAAACTACACCTCATCTACCTGATAAACGACCTGCTTCACCACTGGTAAGTTGTACAGGTATCAGACAATGGGTTTCCCAGAGGATTAAAATCTGTGTAAATAATGAACTATCCAGACATCTGGCTAGAAAAGATATTTCCTGAACACAAAAAGGAAAGCGAGGAGAGAAAAAAGGCAGTTTTAACTGATCAGGCAGGATAGTAGTTGAAAACCGAAGATTTTTGATATTTTAAACAAAACTTTTATATGTTTTTAAGGAAACATCATATTAAAGAAGGTAGGACTATCCAAATGATTAATACCCGGTATTTATATTTTATATTTTTGCCTAATATTTGATTTATTATTCATAGCATATCAAATACAATCCAACACCAATAACAAGATATAGTGTTATACCCAAGTTGAAGGATTTAAACTGCAATTAAAATGTTTTCTATTTACTGGTATGATTTAGTACGTAAGTGTCCATAGCAACGTTCTCTACGGCCAAAGAAATATTGATTAAGGCTAGCATTGTCTGTAGACCTTCGGGAATGATGATGTCACCACAGGAAAACATCGCTACTTTTTGCAAATGTGCAATTCAAAATTGTCTACTACAGCACGAGTTAGATCATTAGGATTACAGTAGAACGCTGTACTAGATACCGAGGTCTCAGGATCAGCAGAGGACACCAGTCATAACTATAATGGGCTACATCTTTTACCAATAAAAATAAAGCAAGAGTTGTAATCAGTTAACCAGAGTGAAGTCCTTTTCTCCCACAGCCACTATAGGTTTCCTCACTCCCGACTCATTGGATAAACCTGCTAGGAAATGGTACATTTTTGGTTACCCACTAGTGATAAATTTAATTTCTCCCATATACATAAGAACATTTACATTGCTACCACCTGGTATTGATGTTTCAGCGTCGAACTCCAGCTCGAAAGATATCTGGAAAACATCTGTTCCATAGAAATTTATTTGGAGAATTGTATTAGAACTGGTTCTCCTTTTGGTTCTTCTTGAAGTTTACAAGTTATTCTTGTTCTTCTTGTTATTTAACATTGTCTTAACTATAACTTTTAAACAGTAAAAGATATCTGGATTGAAACATAGGGTATACCTGCATCAGTGTGCAATGCACTGTAGTTGTGTCATTGACCTGCACCTCAAGGTTGAAGGTACATTGGTGCAAAATTTTCAGTGAAATTTTGTCCCGACCATGACATTTCAACAGTGACAGAGATCTTGATGAAGTATTATTGCATCACTTCCAGGAGGCGTGCTGTGCACAGTAATTTGGTCATCGTAACTTTCACCTCAAGGTCAAACTCAAAGGTCAAATAAATGAAAAGGTTTAATAAGGTCTTGTCTAGTCTATAAATCTTAAACCGTTGAAGATATTTTGATGAAACAAACATCCACAGAAACTGTGTGATTCACCATGATAAGGTCACAGTGATCTGTACCTCTAGGTTAATTAAAAGTCAAGTAATTGGAAAGCAAATACGCATATTGTCTAATGAGGGGAAACATGTTTTGTTCTCAAAAACAAATCTTCTTATTCTTAACAAGATATTGGTTATTAAAAGATTTTAAGAGAAATAATGCTAACAAAACTCAAAAGGGTGCTTTTTTAGGTCACCTGAGACAAAGTCTCAAGTGACCTATTGCGATCGCCTTTTGTCCGTCGTCGTCCAACGTCCGTCGTGTGTCCGTAAACAATTTACATTTTCGACTTCTTCTCCAAAACCCCTGAACCAATTTCAATGAAATTTTGCAGGGACCTTCCATGGACAAAGGTCAACAAAAATAGT